GTGCTGGGTCAGTGTGGAAGGGATAAGGTCAGCAGTGATAAGGGTGGGACATCTTAGCCAGGTCCTGACAGAGAAGTTCCGCTTGGACTATTGCCGGCACTGGAATGTCTGAGGGGGTAGGTTGCAGCTTCCTCCAATTGATTTTCCAAGTGGTGTTTTTTTGTTTTATTTTTTAAAGAATTATATGCAGTGAATTGATCATGAATATTCCAGAATCAGGCTCTGTTGCATAGTGGTGATTGGTCAGGTAAATACTATGCTGTTATTTGTGTTCCCTGAGTGGATGAGCGTTCAAGCACTCCCGGCACAGACTGTGATGCTCTGGGACTCCCTTTCTGTGAATGATCGATCGTGCCAGTAAAGGTTGGTCATGGGGATGTTAGTGGAAAGTGAGGAAAAAAGAGGCAACTGTGGCCAAACAAGTGAATTCCCTTTGAAATTCCAGCCACATTCACTGGAAGTAGTTTGCATTAATAGTCACAGATTCACAGTCATGTACGTATGCTTATTGAACAACACACACACGGACATGCAGCGCATGCTCCCCGTGACGCACATGCGCACGCACACAGACACATTACATACATCCTCCTATCACTTGCTCCAAAGCCCATGGAGATTCCAGTTCTAGGGCCTAGCTGCAGCAAGGCCTCCATGCAACTAGCTGGGTGGCCTGAGGCCCAGGTGCTTGAGCGTGCAGGGCAGGAAGAGGGGTGACGTGCTATGCAGTTGCCAGCTCAGCTGGTCTCACACTCCAGCTTGACACTCTGTCAGGGCAAAGGCTTCTCTAGAGCAAGCTCAGGGAACGGCTCCGATGTGCCACATTGGCTGCCCAGGGCTGCACTGAGGGGAGAAGGTAGAGTTGAGAGTTACAGGGACAGGAGGAGGGGCAGGGGATCTCCTGATGGAATCCTAGTCTGCTCACATAGTAGGTCCTCACAGCACTTGAAGAGGAAGGCAGAGCATAGGACATGGGTGTTCAGGATGGGAATTCACATGAGGGCAGCAGTCGGTTGGGGCTCCTGCCCTTCTCACTTACACCCTTTTTCTGTTTCACTCCCTGCATTGTACTAGCACTTGGGTGGGAATTTGAGCCCTGGGCCCTGACCTATAGGGCTACCCAACTATTCCAGCTCTGAGCCCTCATGCACAGCTTTGCCGATGCCTGTGAATCCTGACCTGCAGTAACCCTGGCTATTCCAAGCCTCCAAAATCTACAAAGTTTGGTCTGAGACAGCGAAATTCAGTTCACTTTGGACCCAAGACAGAATTTGAACCCAGCTATCCTGAATTGAAAAGCTGATTCTGTAATCTAGGTGAAGCCGGATCCATTCCAGCTGGTCTGTGAACCCAGTGTAGGTTCTTTCCCATCATCTAAACGAATTAACAGATTAAGAAGGACCTTCTGTGCTGCCTTTCCCTGATCTTTGTGCAGTTATTAGCTGGCTCTTTTAACACACCACAGCACGTTGTACTTTGATCCCACCAGCTTTTATAAGCTAAACAGGTTTGATCTGGATCAGTGCTTGGATCACTCTAAGTATCACCTAGTTGTTGCTGTGGGTTGTGTTGGTGATTCAGGTGGTGCTCTCTTCCTTCAATCAATACTTGTAATAATGTCCCCCATGTGTAGTTAGGGGTCAGTACTGGCTCCACTTCCTTAGCATGGTGATAGGGGAGCTGTGCTGCTGAAGATGTTGTCGATTCCTGACCACTGGGAGTCATTCAGGCACTTTCCATAGGAATTAGGGTCTTAATGAATTCCAAATTCCAGTTTGGGTAGCATTCTGATCCTCCAATGTCATCCTGCAGAGTCAACAAAATATGGGGATCTTTGTTTCTTGTCCTAATGTAACACTGCACAGCGTAGCTCTGTGGCTGGCAGACAGCTGCCTCATCCCATCCCAGAGGCGGATGCATTTCAGTGGTTGGCAAAGTGATCCCTGCAAAGCACTGTGTGATGTTTATTTGCGCAGAGGTGTTTGGCATTTGAATCCCTGTTGCCCCTTTTTTGGGATCCCTTTCCCCTTCCAGTGAGGCAGCCTGTGGAGAGGGGGTTTAGCATACTGGTTACACTGCATTGAGCAGGGGGAGCGGTAGGAATCATTTATAATTATTTTCTTTTAATTGCCGGTTTGGTGCCCTGCGGTTTGGGTTCTTTGGAACTTTCCGGGGGGGCGGGAGCAGGCTGGGGTTGGGGTATGTGTTACTGAGGGCTGCGCGAGTGCACGTGGGGGAGGGGGGGGCAGCTGGCGCTGCTCCTGCCCCAGCGAGACACTGGGCTTGGGGGCTGTTTACTTACTCCCAGGAGGCTTTTAACTGTGATACAATCACCCTGCGATAAGGCAGCCACAGCATGGGGGGGACATGGCCGTGACAGGATGATTTAAACAGCCTCTTGCTGTCGCTTCATCTTCCCAGATACCATAAATCAGATTAGCACTGGACTGAGGAGGGGGTGGGAGGAGGACTGAGCAATGTAGGGAGGGAGACACTCCCTTTATAGAAACCAGCCACAGTCTCTCCCAGGCAGACCCCACCCAGAGCGACAGATACTGCCCTGTCTGCCTCAGATGTGCACCCTGGATCTGCCCCATCCATCCCCAGACAGATGCTCCTCCCCTGTATCTGTCCCTTGATGCCCACTTCTGCCCTGACAGATGCCCCAGTCAGACACCTTCACCATGGCTGCTCCAACATATCTGCCCCTGTGTCTTTCCTCTCCACTAATGGGTGCCCCTGTTTCTACCCAGATGGATGCCAGCCTTTGTGCCAATTCCCTCCAGTTATACCATAGACGAACACTTTACACCTGTCCCCACAACCCCCTCCATGTTTGCCCCGTGGATGGACACTCCCATATTTCTGAATGCCCCAGGCCATCAGACCCCAGGGTATGTGCCAGCACCTCCTCTCCCTGTAATCATCAGACCCCAGGGTACATGCCAGGGGCTGGCTCCTCACTGCTCCCTGTAGTCATCAGTCCCTGGCATACACGATGCGGGCAGACTCTCCTCTCCCTGTAGTTGATAGACCGTGGAGTAGCTGGTAGCCCCGTCCCGTGCTGTGACTGCCTCCTGTCTCCTTTCAGATCTCTCGCAATTTGGGGAAGATGTACAGTGAAATGATCTTTGTGAACGGCTTCGTACACTGTGACCCGCACCCGGGCAACGTGCTCGTGAGGAAGTGCCCAGCCACTGGCAAGGCCCACATTATATTGCTGGACCATGGGCTCTACCAGGTATGTGAGTATGGAGGGTGCTGGGAGCCATCAGGCTGATGCTGTGCTCTGTCTCTGGGGAGGTGTCACTCATGCCTGTGTGCTTCAGGCCTGAACTGAGCTGAGAGCCTCCTATCTCACCCAGCCAGTCATAGCCCTGGTGAATTAAAGAGGCACCCCAGGCTTGCAGATCCCCTTTGTGGATTTTTCCTATAGCACTTACCACCCTTCAATGGGATTTTATGCCTGGAAGCTTGAAATATCAGACACGGAGGTGGTTAAAGGCGCCTGCTGGTTGGGATAGGTTTTCCCCCTCCCTGCCCTGGTGCTGTTGATTGATTTCCTTTGGGGAACATGGCCCTCTCTCCCCAGGTCCTGACAGAGAAGTTCCGCTTGGACTATTGCCGGCTCTGGCAGTCCCTGATCAAGGCTGATATGAAGAGGGTGCAGAAGTACAGCCGACGGCTAGGGGCAGGTGACCTGTACCCACTCTTCGCATGCATGCTCACCGCCAGGTCCTGGGACTCTGTCAACAGGGGCATCGACCGGTCACCGGTCACAGCCAATGAGGTACAGCCTGTTTGCGCTCCGTGCTCCTGTGGTGTCTTTCTCCATTATAATCACCTAGTTCATTGACATTAATATTAATGGCTGCTCTAGCAGGCCTATCGAGAGGCTGCATTGAGAGATGGACTAAAGGTGGCCTGGAATCCCTTTGCTATACACTTTTAACTGCTGAATTTAGTCTCCTCATCTCTCACACGCACTCACTACAGGTCAGTTAAATTTCCCATAAGATTTTCTTGGTTAAATAAATTACCAGCTCTGGTAGAGGAAACCTTTGTAAATTTTCCTGAGTGCAGCTGTGCAGGGAGCACACCGAGCTGGGTAAGGGGCAGAGGAGACATCGGAGCTCAGTGGGGGAGGATAATACATATTAGTGTTAATTGCTAGTCATGTGAATGACCATCAGCACTGATGCATGCTCATCAAAAATCCTTGGAAATGACAGAGGTTGTTTAGTACAGGAGGTAAGTCAAGGTTGCTTAAGTGCAAATCCCATCAACCCAATCATGAAAAATCTAGAAAATCACCAGTTAAGTTCTTCCTCATCCTACTGTCCATGTGTCACGAGTCCTTCTATACTCATGTACATCTGTCTACCACTCACAGCACCCACCTTCATCACACTAATGAACAAATGGGCAACCATGTTGTTTGTAGAGGTAAGCAGGCAGGGGTATGGCAGTAACAGGTGGGCCAGTGTTTGTGGGGGGAAGCATGTCTCACATGGCTTATTTTAATGTGGGTGTAAGAAGTTTGTGTTATTGTAGTGGCAAAGTGTGAGGGGAGGGCAGGGGTAAAGGACAAAATGAGTTGGCTTTGTATTGCTTGGTAAATGGTGTCTGTGCAGATGTAATATGCAGGTAAGAATTCATAAAGAAGGGTTAAAATTGGCTGTTGTGAAATTATGTGGTGGAAATTCCTCACTCTTTGTGGGTTGGTGCTTGATTTTTGTGGCCAGAGTTAAGGTTTGCTCTGATGGGTCACAAATATCATACAGCTCCCCTCTGGCATTGGCAGGTGAGTTTACATTTAAGGGGAAGGTAGCTCCTTTCTTTTGGTTTTGGGGTGAAACTGAGAGGTTAATAGCAGCAGCGAGAACCAGACATTGTGGCAGTCGGTACCATGTAACACACAGCTCTGATGATGCTTCTAAATCCTGTCTTGCAGCACCCTCTGCTTCTCCAGATCTGCTGGCACACCGGAGGCCTTATCTTGTGCACCATCTGCTATTCCAGACTTTGTCCTTGTCAGAAAACACCAGCTTGATGACATAATGTGGTTGTTTTGTGATGGGGACAAATACCCTTACTTAGCACTAGACTGAGATGTATCAGACTTATTTAATTGTGATCTGTGTGGGATCCACATCCAGGGGGACTGGCAATGTAGTAAGCATGCTGGGGGAAGGGAGAATGAATAGTACTTATCCTGTGAAATGTGTGCCCATTCCCACACCGGCTTCTTCCATCGAGCAGCGGTACTCAACCCCCGCTCAGCCCCAGGCCTTGTCACACTTCACCCCTTCCCCCAAGGCCCCACCCCAGCCCTGCCTCTTCCCACCCCTGCTCTGCCCCGCCCCTCCTCTTCCTACCCAGTCCAACCTCCTCCCCCGAGCACGCCACGTCCCTGCTTCTCCCCCTCCCCCCCAGCTCCTCCTGCACGCCGTGGAACAGCTGATCACGGTGGGCCGGAGGTGCTGGCAAGGAGGGGGAGGAGTTGATCAGAGGGCCACCGGAAGGTGGGAGGTGCTGGGGGAGAAGCGGGGAGCTGGCTGCCAGTGGGTGCTAAGCACCCACAAATTTTTTTCCATGGGCGCTCCAGTCCTGGAGCACCCACGAAGTTGGCGCCTATGCCCACAGTTCCACCAAATCAAATGTGGGAATTGCTCACCACCATGCCCCAAAACATCCATGTTTCTATCCAGGCTCTGAAGGGATGACATTACCCCATTTCGAGGTTCAAGATTCCACTTGCCATTTTAACTTGTTGCTAGGAAACCCAATGAATATCCCGGTCCATGCTCAAATCCCCAGATTTTCCTGGAAGCAAAAGTTAAAAATACAACTGTAATAATCTCAAACACAATTATGTGATCTTTGAATTTCTGCTCTCTCTGGAACTGCCATCTCATGAGGTGTTGAGTCCTACAGATTGTCAACTGGCATAAGCACATGCCCTTATTGAATATGTTTCAAATTATCCAGTAACATTAAGCCTAAAAGGAAGGCTTTTTTTGCAGTATAGTTAACCTGTGGAACTATTTGCTACATAATATAAACTAGGCAAATACAACTTAGATGGGGCTACTATAAGGTGGGTGCATAACTGGCTGGATAACCGTACTCAGAGAGTAGTTATTAATGGTTCCCAATCCTGCTGGAAAAGTATAACAAGTGAGGTTCCGCAGGGGTCTGTTTTGGGACCAGCTCTGTTCAATATCTTCATCAATGACTTAGATATTGGCATAGAAAGTACGCTTATTAAGTTTGCAGATGATACCAAACTAGGAGGGATTGCAACTGCTTTGGAAGATAGGGTCATAATTCAAAATGATCTGGACATATTGGAGAAATGGTCTGAGGTAAACAGGATGAAGTTTAATAAAGACAAATGCAAAGTGCTCCACTTAGGAAGGAACAATCAGTTTCACACATACAGAATGGGAAGAGACTGTCTAGGAAGGAGTATGGCAGAAAGGGATCTACGGGTTATAGTGGACCACAAGCTAAATATGAGTAAACAGTGTGATGCTGTTGCAAAAAAAGCAAACATGATTCTGGGATGCATTAACAGGTGTGTAGTGAGCAAGACACGAGAAGTCATTCTTC